TTTTGGACGATTTCTCACTGTGTTATTACTATATTCTCTAAGAAAACAGCCCATCTATGATTTTTATTATTAGGATGAATCAATTTATTTCTATATTCATTTAAAAAATATATATATACTAGTTGATTTTATGAAACCACTTAACTTTAGCATAAATGCAACTTGCTTTCACAAATTAGGGAAGAAATGTAAACCTTTAAATATCAAACTGAAGTTAAATTATTTATTTGCTTGATTATACTAAAAAGAGTTTTTTGATTGCTATTTACAATCTTGTTGCTGAAGCTAGGTTATAATATATACATTAAAATTGTTGTATTTATCCATTTCATTGGGTAATTAGCATTAAGCGCAGCAACATGTTGGGAAACAGCAATTTCAAATGCCAAAAATTCCTACACTAGCATTGTGGACAGTCCTTTGGAGATCTCAAGCAGTACTCTGAATGCAAATGTTGATGGGTCATTAGTTTTCATTAATGGTGGCTTGAGTATTTATGGAAGACAACTATGTACGGTACTTAGAGCCAAGCAAATTGCCTAGATATATTTCACATATTAGTGCTAAAGTAATGAATGGTGGTATGGCAATTAGAAGACTGATGACTTGGAAAATTAAGGTGTGTGTATGTGAAATTTCCTGATCTAAGCAGCCCCTTGCATTTTGCAATTACATCCAGCAAACTCACATCTCCCACCACCTGAGTTGCTAGAAATGCATTCTGGTGTTATGTTTGAAACTCTATGTAGGATAAAACAAAAATCAAATAACTAAGATATATACCTACATGATGAAAACAAAAGGCAGCATGAATATATTTTGGTAATGTGAACCCACATTTTCTGTCTAAAAGAAAATACTGTAATTGTTATTGCCAATTTTGATTGTTTGATAATACACCTTGATGACTGTAATTTATGCAGTTTGTGTTCAAGATATTGTGCTAAGATCTGCTCTCCCATTGAAAAGCTATTATATATGTCTGATTTTGTTGTATTGCTTTTTTTTAACATTAATTTCAGCAGAAATAGTACCTATGCATAAAATTATTCACTACATGAAATTCTTCTACTTTATACTATTAAACAATAACTAGAAAAAGACTACTACTTAGCATCATGGAATATTTCCTTTGACATTTCCAGCATAACTATCTTAAAAAAAAATATCACCAATGCACAACAAATTATATCCTCATTGTACAATCTACATCATATCCCTGTTTTGTACCAATATGAGCTCAATTTTGTGATCTTGTTTAAGCTGTATTTCTGTGAGGACCTGATACAAAATCCAATCAAATACCTCCACCAAAAAACAACTGACTGAAACCTTCAGTATCTTTTTCTTCTCAGCAACAAATTTACAGTAACGAATCAATAGTTTTCTAGCAATGCTCAGTTTATGATTCAGACTCAGGACAAAGTTGAGAGCACTTTGGCAACAATTTGGCTGCTAACATTATTTTTTCACATCTTACCATCACCTTCTGCATGTTCCCACTAAATAATACAATAGCGGGAGAATGTCCTCTGGAAAGGACTAAATAACAGTCAACACCTGAAACATAGTGGCAACTTCCAAACAGTTTGTAAGGGCTAAACTAGAACACAGATATACAGGGATTGAAAGCAATGAAGTACAAACAATGAGGAGACTGAGGAGCAGTACTAAAGGAGAGTGGCATTCATCATTGCCTGGTGAAGCTCTGAACTACAGCACAGCTGTATAAAAAAAGCAAACCAACACTTTCCCGACTTTGCTGGTGTTATTCTTTGAGTTCACATCCCTCTACATAACCATGGAGTACTTAACTGCTTCTCACCCCTTTTCTGATTTTGAAATTAACAGAATCAAAGATCCAGGTAACACAGAGATCAGGAGAGCACAGAAATTACTAAAGCAAAAAAAGTCAGCCTCAGGCCAAGCTGCTGTCAGTCCTTAGTTTTTTCTAGTTCTGAAAAAATTTCTGAAATGTAAACTGCAAGTTATAGCAAAACCCCCTGGAAGCTGTCAAAAGATCTGTCCATTTTCTGTGCAAAAGGCTGTCAAGGCAAAGAATAGAAGACACTAGGTCTTCACACAAGACTACTGGATTATCTTTGTGAGTCTTTGAGAACTTGTGCTTTCTGACAGGGAGACTGGTGACTGGAAAAAATGCTAGTAAGGAGATGTGTCACAAACAGCTAAAAAAGTCTTCAGAAATGAAAGAGACTGAGATGTTGTAAGAGATCGCCACAATAGTAAATTTTTCTGGTAATCCTTTCTCTCCCTTCCTATGCTTGGGGAGGGAATGGGAAGCAGAGCCATTTAAGATCACATTACCCTGTTCCCTCAATCCACTGAGATTCCCTCCACCATTTCCGTTTTCGAGTTCTTCAGACCAGCAAAGGTTCTGATGTTCAACAGCAACTGACCCATGTGTGACCTGGTGAGACTACTGCACAAAGGGATTCTCAAAATACTCTATCTCCTCTTTCTGCTCCAGTGAAAACATAACCGAGCAACACGATGTGATCACACACTTCAAATAGAAATACAACCAAAAAAATAAGCTGTCCAAAACACTGCTTTTACCTGGGAAGACACGAAAAATAAAACAGAAAAATGCCAAAGACAGCAGAAGCCTACAGGATTCTGCAGCCCTGAGTGGAAGCTAAATGTCACAAAACAAAGTCAGGAGTTTGAGTACAAATACCATATTTGTTTTCTTTTCAGCCACTAATGAATTCAAATTGTAAAAAGAAATCAGCTTAGCATAATCAGAGAAGAAACATTTCACTTCACGGTGGTTTTTATGTGTTTCCTTTGTTTTTAGATAAAAGCAGTCAAGAAAATTTACAAAATCGACCAAAACGAAAGCAATAAACGTAGTTACTGCAATTCACCTGCTAAAAATTCCTCTTAAACTTGTAGGCAAACAGATTAACAGGAATACCAAATCATGTTAATCTATCATGGTAAATCTTACATTAGCACAAATTATTCCTCCTTCTCTATTTGCATATTATTAGCTACAATCACTCATCAATTACAGATCTCTTACTTGCTTCACATTGCATTGGATTTTCTGTTCTGACCATTTTACATGCATGAAATCCTGACTGATAGAATCTGATATAAGCACTTGAGGCAAATAAAAGGCATTTGTGTTGCTACAAAATGTTCCACAATATAAAAACATACAGAAGAAATGAACACAGAAACTTCTCATTTTCCAACCACCACATACAGTACTGTTTATAAAAGAGTATTTTTACTTTTCTCTGACAGGCCTCTATACAGAATCACACTGCAATGTCATAGGGCAGTTACCACAACTGTGGCTCCAAACCAGACAAAGCCCAAAGAGAAAACAAACAGAAAAACCCAAACACATTATAAGTTTTGTTTAGCAATTTTGAGTAGGAAGAATTGTAGTCATCCATAAAAACAGAGCTTCTCAAACGAGGAATATTAGAGATATTATACATATAAATGTATTCGTTTACAAACTATGCAACATAAATTTTTGCATCTCCACACCTGTATGGTTCAATTACTTCTGTGCAAACAAGCATGGAACAGTCTTCTTTAAATGATAGCAATAAAATCTACTCTATATTCCAGATGAATCATCACTGTTGGACCTTCTCTGAATTACAGATGAAGACTCAATACAGACATCTCAGTGATATATAAACAAATACTCTTTACAACATCTCATATTGAAGACTACCAATATCTCCCTAAAGTAAAGGTCATTTATTCATTCTATTTCCAGTCACAAAGACAAGTTTTTTATATTAACATTCATGGCTCCTACTGACACAAAACTTGCTTTTGTTTATGAGTGCATATGTAAAAGTATTCCCTCTGCAACAGATTTTGACAGCATTTAGAGTGCAATCCTGCCCAAACAAATATATAACATTTTTAACCATTACTACTTACAAATGACTTAATTTACACAATGTGCACAAAGTCTTTGGAGTTTATTTAGCATAGCTTTCACAAGCACACAAACTATATATGTTATAGAAGTAATCAATCAAATAAAATGCTTTATGAAAATATTCTGGCAGTTAATGTGTGAACTATCCCAACAGAATTCTACTTATAAACTGTTTTTTGTTTTGGAACATCCACAATAAATATAAAGATTTTTAACTGAAGCAAATCAGAGATGAGGAAAGCATTTGGAGGAAGTGCAGAAAGCTCTAATATCATCTCTAGAATACTATAAGACTGTAATTTCTTAACACATTGTCATCCTAGCACAGCAAGGGCCAAGAGCTAAAGATGCACGAGAAACAATCAGTTTGAAGCAATATTCTCATAATATTCAGCAATCTGCAACTTAAAGACTTCTTGAACTTCTTTAGGAATTTTTCTTTATGCTGCTGCTCTTTTGATTAAAAAAAAAAATAATAATTTACATGTCCTTAAATGTACTGAACATTTCTAATGTGCAAAGTTTAATAGACAGAACAGCTTTTTATTCCCACAATCAATTTAAACCACAGAATATCAGCAGGCATCTGAAAATCCAAATAATCAGTTTATTTTTATCACCAATCATCACTCCATACTCAAAGAAGTAATCACAAAGTGTAAGCTAATCCAACAAACTAGGACTATTTTGAAGTAAGACAGTAGAAAGAAGTGAGCAGCAGAAGAAACAAGTCTTAGACAATTCTCTGTAATAAAGAGCATAACACACCTCCTTCCAACAGGATTTACAAGTATTTAACTACACTAGCTACAGTAAACCTAAGACTTCAGGTTGTTACCTTCATCCTGTGTGCATATATGCATGACTGCATATATAGAAACACATACTTTAATACAGATTGCAAACTGTTTGTCCAATGAAATATAAAAATATTTTTCACAGTCTCACCAGTCAATGAACTTCATGTATTATTTACATGAAAAGAATAGCTTCTCCAAGCTTTTGATCTGTCATTATTAATTAGCTTCCAATCAATTAACAACTCAGTGGTTACTGTTGGACTTACCCATAATGGTTAAAGCTGTGGCTTTTGTTAAGTCTTCTTTCATTGACTCTATTATTTCAAGTTTGCCACCATCCAAGTCACATCTATTTATGGTTCCATTTCCTGAACTGATCCAGTAAAGTTTGTTCTCCCCATAATCTATCGATAAACCTGTAATTAATGTGTACAACTTTAGCTGTGCCTTGAAGAGGTAATATATATTTAATGTTAAGTTGTTTTCATACTAAAAAAATATTTAAGAAATATATATATACACACACACACAATTATTTTGTCTATCTACTCATTCACTCAGTCTTTCAAAAACACAATTGAGAAAACCAAAAAAACTTGGCCAATGGTAGTGGAAAAAAGTAAATCACACTTTGTAAAAGCTTTCTGCTTTTCATTTCATCCCACATCTACAGAAATCTATCAGTGACTGATGAAAAAGCATTATCTGGCAATGAACAATTACTTGAATGAACTGAAGTCCAAAGTGAGGTCATTAACTACTAGTAAATGCAACCAGAAGCCATAATTCATATTCTAAAATAATGACTACAAAGAAATAAAAAATACTTGCAAAATAACCTACTAAACAAAGCAAGCAAGTACTTTAATGGAAGTAAGAGCAAAGAACTAACAGATAATGTATTTTCAACTCTTACAACTCTTTGAAAATGTTCAAGTAATTGTAGCAGGAGATTTCCCACAGTGAAATACACTTGGCATGGTCATAATACATGCCATAATAATTTGCTTCAGTACTAGACTTTTCCCAGAACTCATGTTATGGATCCAGCAGCAAATTGCCAAAAAATACTCTGTTGCACTCCATAGGTCAGCCCCCTGATATTGTACAGCACTCTTCTTCCATCCCGTAAATTGCTTCTCTGTGGAAACTCAGATCTATTTTCAAAAGCCTGGAAAAAGAAAGCAGTGCCATGTGCTGCAATACTTACAGCTGGCATCATGCCACTACTTCTTTAAACACGTTTGACACAGTTGTCCAAAAGGTGTCTGCTTTCTAAGCTTTTCAAAAACAGCTTTCCAGTTCCTTTGCAGTTACTGATATTTCTTCCTTCCCTGGAAGTGTATTACCCAGAAGAAAAACAACTACCAAGCTTGAGAGAGGAAGAGGACACTGAGTAGTTGCTTCAGGCAAGATTGATCTTGCAGCATCTCTCTGCACATATGGGTTTCTCTGCATGTGCAACAAGCACTGATCAAAACCCATCCAGTACTTACTCCTAGCAAAGGAAACTTCCTGGGAGTATCAGTGAACCCTGCTATGAGTTACAAAGGCAATGCAGGCAATACCTAAGGACAAAGGTGTCCTTCTTGTGAGATGGATGGTGTTTGCTATTCCCTGTAACTCCTGACTGCTACCAGCCAGCTGCTTCCCCATTTCACTCAGATCTATTCACGGGGTTGGGGTGAACAGAATCTACACAGCAATTACAATGTTATCTTGCTACTTCTTCAGATATTAAACTGGTGTTTCTACACATGGGTATTCCAATTACACAGCAGCAACTACCAGAAATAACTTTCCTATCTCCTACCAAGTATACCACATTTTTCCTTTCTAAAGTAGCAAGTCCACCTACTACCAATCTTTAGGATTCTGTTGCAGACAGAACATGTTATTTAGATTTTTTTGGGAATTATCTAGTTTTTACTAATAAAAATATGTGATTTACCAGCCATAAGCGTCCCATACATTCTAGTGTGGGCGAGTGGCTTATACCTTACATCCCAGCTGCCCAAGTTAACCTGAACATGTGGACTGCACAAAAGAAGTATTTGCTGACTGTGTAAGCAACTACTAGATAGCAACACTGTGTGCCCACTGGAACACTGAATGGAAAGCACTGGTCAGTAACCAACTACCAGGAAATACCTGTCTCATATTAATACTGGACAATTTGGTCTTCAGAAAACTGAAAGGAGAAGACAGACCCATCCACTGAAGATAAAGGATCCAACTCTCTTGAGTGGTCCAGTGAGCCCAGAATGACCAGCTAGAAGAGAACTGCTAGTCTTCATATCAGGGTCAGCTCATAGATCTGTTTTGAGTGAAGGGGGCAAAAGGAAATACACTAAAAGTACTGTGACCTGCTCTGACATACATCCTTCCTGCACATATACCTCATTGGTATAACTTATAAACCAAAGCCATCTCCAATTCCTCCTCACAGGTTGTGATGACGTGAAATGGACAGATGGCAGGCCAGGCCCTGGTAGGTTGAGACTTTTCCACAATTAAAATACAAAGTAAGAAAAGCAATTACAGAGATAATATCCTCTTCCCCAATAATAAATTTTAAAAAAGTAAATAAATAAATATGTGAAGAAGTTAGAATCATTAAGGTTGGAAGAGACCTTCAAGATAGAGTCCAACCATAATCCAACTACTACAACCATAAAACTATATCCACAAGTGCCAAATCTAAACACTTCTTGAGCACTTCCAGGGATGGTGACTCCACCACCTCCCCGGACAGCCCATTCCAATGGCTCACCACTCTCTCAGTGAATATTTTTTTTCCTAATATCCAGTCTAAACCTCCCCTGTCACAACCTAAATCCATTTCCTCTCATCCTATTGCTAGTTATTTGGGAGAAGACACCAACACCAGCCTCTCTACAACGTCCTTCAGGCAGTTGTAGAAAGTGGTTGTAGATAAAACTAAGATTTCCCCTGAGCCTTCTCTTTTCAGACTAAACAACCCCAGTTCCCTCAGCCACTCCTTGTATGACATGCCCTGCAAAACCATCACCAGCTTTGTTGCTCTTCTCTGGACATGCTCCAAGACCTTAATGTCTTTCTTCTACTGTGGCGCCCAGAACTGAACTGGGTACTCGAGCTGTGGCCTCACCAGTGGCACGATCACTTCCCTAACTCCTGCTGCACACACTGATTTTGATGCAGGCCAGGATACCACTGGGCTTCTTGGCTACCTGGGCACACTGCTGGCTCATGTTCAGCTGGCCATTTCACAGTGGGAAGCTTCCCCAGCCACTCTTACCCAAGCCTGCAGTGTTGCTTGGGGTTATTGTGACCAAAGTGCAGGACTCAGCACTTAGTCTTGTTAAACCTCATCCCCTTGACCTCAGCCCATTGATCTAACCTGTTTAGATCTCTCTGCAGAGCCTTCCTACCCTTGAGCAAATCAACACTCCTGCTCAATTTAGTGTCATCGGCAACTTGCTGAGGGTGCCCTCAATTCCCCTCATCCAGATCACTGATAAAAATATTGAACAGAACTGGCCCCAATACTGGGCCCTAGGGGACACCACTTGTGACTGGACACCAGCTGGATTTAACTCTGTTTATCACAAGTCTTTGGGCTTGGCCATCCATATTATGAAAAGTATCTTTCAAATTTTATATATTAGCTAAAACATAGGTGTAATTTTTTAAAAAGTGAATACAGTTTAAATTTTTTCTCCAGAGAAGTATAGCATCATTTTTTTTTTTTCACAGTGGTCTTAAAGCAATTTCTTCTAATCCTAGCTTCCTGAATGGCAGTTGGATGGAACCTAGGGAAGACTTGATCTACCCTAGGAGTGTGTTGCTTGCTGCTACATTGCACATCAGAAACACATACAGACTAGATGGCAGGTGAAAATAAAAATAAAAATATGTTTTCTTGAGAACTTTTTCCACATACCCTCTGCTCAGGGCATTTTCAGTGAGCTGAGTTCTTAAAGGATGGCCCACTGGTATCGAAATGGGTGAGGATTTCAGGAGACCAAAGCTTCTCTTCAGGTACTGCTATTATTTTATTTTTTTTTCTTTTGTGGAATTAAGTAGTACTGTTTTCTTTATATTTTTCTACAGTTTGTCAGTGTTTTCAATGTTTTTTGGTGCTCAGAACTTAATGTAGGTCAGTCTTCTCACTTTGGGGAGACAAGCAGTTTATTTCCCACTCCCGCAGTTATTTCCCGCCCCCCTCTCCCCCCTGCCTAAACCAACAACTCAAGTTTCAAAACTTTGTTAACCAGTGCTTTAAATATAGATGGCAGATCACACAATTATTTTGGTTGGGAGGGACCTCTTTAAATCAGCCCTCTTCCTCCACTATGGCATAACAGACAAAGGAGAAAGAGCTAAGGAAGTCACATGAACTATTGCTCTACTCAGAAACTAGAACACAGCCTAGAAAGGGACTGAATTACAGTAAAATAGAGGATCCATCACATCTTTTAAGTTATTTTTGCTCAGCACATTAATTAAACGTTCTTTCTTCACCAAAAAACCCCAAACAAGTAGACATTATATATCTACACTCTTTACATATTCAGCATATACAACATTGATCACTTTGCATATTTTCAGACAGACAAGAAGGGAAAAACAATTAAATCTCTAAGGTGTCGTCATCATGCGATAGATCTCATTGTTATGTAATAAGCACCTTCAAGCTGGATTCTACCTTATTGAAATAACTCTTAGCAGATCTCCAAGGTGTTAACAATTAATCCAATCCTTCAGAAAGAAAATAAATTGTCTTGTTTCCAGCTCTGTGGTGAAGTAAAAGAAACTTATTTCACAATCCTCACTCCTACACAGGAATATTGAACGACATGAATTGTCCATCTGATACCAGTGAGACTGTACATGTCCATGAAGAAAAAGATCCCAAAATCCACATGGATTTGCTAATGCAGCCTTTGACAGTACTGATGTAAAGAAAATAAACAAAGGAGAACTTACTGTTCTATCCTCTGTTGGGTTCAATAGTGTTACTGCTACTCAGAACTAACTCAATGACAGAAACCTTAGCACTGGGATTTAGGACCTTGTGACCTATGATCACAGGATATTCAGTGCAAAGAGCTGCAGTCTTGCTTCTTAATATTCATTCATGAATTCATGTTAAAATCAGTGGGTTTACTACTGTTTTTTCTCTAGATAAATAGTAAGTGTCTCTTCAAGCAGACAGAAAATCAAACTAACTATAAAACAGTTACCAAATGATTTCTATAAAATCCTTCAAATTTAGGGTCTAAAATGCATGTCATGGTGTCCTGATATCACATTTATGGAAATATTGAACTATTTAAGTCATTTTTTCTTCTGCTTGCTTAATGCATTCAGTTATGAAAACCTTTAAATACTTTAAAATGCAATCACTTTATTGATGGGCCATTAATAAGGCAACAGCAATTGACATTACCACTTTACTTCCCTAAAAATGAAATAAAATAATAAAAAAAAAAAGACTTCAACTGAAAATAAATAAACCCTACATATAAAGGGATTTTTTTTTTCCAGAAAGTGCCACAGTTTATCATCAACTATAATTATTCTCAGATACTAGACCTGAAGTTAAGTCATTATTAAATGTCTTCAGTGGTTGCTCTTTTCTATATGTGAAAAGTTAAGAGCCAAATTATCTTTTGATGATGCAGCTGGGATTCCTGTGCAAAAGGTTCTAGATTTCCAGACAAAGCATCATCCTCACATATATCTATGCTTTATTAAAATCCTGCTCTCTGTATTTTTTTTAGCCATAATCTACAGATTGAGAGATACAAATGGGTTCTTCTTCACCTTCAGTTTACACAGCTACTGTAATCCTGTGAGTTAGTAATTCTATACTTTACTTGCTATAGTAGATTTCAATTATAACAGGCCCAAAATATATTCAATTGTGAAATACAAAAGTGCATCAGTGTTTCTCGTGTCTTTTTGCCTGTTCATGTCACTGTACTTGAAAAACACATTGGTGTACTTATATAGCATTTTGAGATCATATTCATAATAAACCACTGTCAAATAAAAAAGAAACCAGAAAAAAAGTATTTACCAACAGGATCTTTTTGATTCTGAAAGAGTATTTTGCTGTTGCTGCCATCCATGTTTGCCATGTTAATGGTGTTACCATCTGTCCAGTAGAGTTTACTGAAGAAGAAAAGAAACATTTATAACGTTTCTTTCTGCACACAGTATTTTTAATACATCTGTAGTGAAACATTCCTAAGTTTAGAAGCAGGTGAAATATACAACTAAGGATTGTGTGATTAAATCAACAGTTAGGTTTGGTAGGGAAGCAGCACCCCAACTCTCAGCAAAACCTTTCAAACACATTTGAAAAAAAGCAGAATGAACAAACTCAAAATCTGAAGAAAGAATAATTCTTCTGATTAGCTTTACCATCGCTTATTTTTTAAAACTACAGATAATCTTACCCTTTTACTGGGTGAACTGCAAGACACTGGGGTTTATCAATTCCATGTATGATTGAGGTTTTCAAGGAACCATCCAAATGGGCCACGTTAATCTGTGTTTCATCAAATTCTGAGCTAATCCAATATAAATTACGTGATATCCAATCCACAGCAAGACCTCTGATACTCTGAATATCTGCAAAAAAAATGAAAGCAGTTGTTCTTTTCAGTTTCTTTCTGAATTATTCTCAGCCTTGGACACCAAAAAAATACCAGTTTCTTCGACAGTTTGTTAATAATATTGTGCAATATTCTATACAGATAAATATTTGCAAACAATTGTAATTTTTATTCTTGTGCCTGCAATACTTGCAATAAGGACACGGAAATTGCACTGAAGACTTGAGAAATCCTCAATAAGTACTTCAAAGATTAGCATAAAACCTCTTTTTCAAAAATAATAGTCAGATACTGAATTTTTAAGGTGTATTTTTGTACTTATGAATGCATTTATTACTCAGTGCACTATTAAAAACTGTGGTTGGTTTGTTATGGATTTTTTTTTAGAAGCTGATGATGGAGAATGAGTTAGCCTCCACAAGGAAGTTCAACAATCATCTTTAAGAAACATAAACATGACTCATTGCATAACAGGAAGGCTCATATTTCTTTAGTTGTGAGTTATACTTTATATATAGAAAACTAAGTGGCTTTCTAAAATGAAACTATGCTCAAGTTTAAAAGCCTACTTCCTTTATTTTTTTAGCACCAAGAAGTACAGAATATCTGAATTAAAACCATTAGTCTATGACACAGTTTTATAACATGTCAGTAGCTACATCACTGAAGAAGTTTTTTTGGTTTTATCTTGAGAGACTTTGAAGTCTCCAACTTACTCCCCTGCATTCTAAGAAATGGCAGAACATCTGTCAGGCAATGGGAAGGACTGATAGAATCCTTTCTTTTGCTTTGCTGGTGCATGCAGCTTTTGCTTCTCATATAAAGCTTTTGCTTTCCTAATTCCTATTATTATTTCCTATATTCCTTTATCTCAACCCACAAGTTTTCCCATTTTTACTCTTCTTAATCACATCCCCCTGGGGGGAGTGAGCAAGTGGCTACGTGGGTCAGGTTAACCCACACTACTGACAGTACCTGAGGTAGCAAAACATGAGTAAGATGTGACTAATCTGGTACCTTCACAAATGTCTTTTGTATGTGGTCTTCTGTAGCAAGATCTTGATTTAAAAAATGTTAACGTAATGGTAATGTATGGATCTGCCTTAAATGCTGCTGAAGGTCTAGATACCAACATGCTGCACTGCCTTGGCATAACAATGGTTCATATTTTTCTCCTACTTTGTAGATGGGTAAGGAGGCCAAAGGTGATTCAAAAACTTCATTGTAGTTCATAGTTTGTACACCATCTCCTTTTCAACTTCATGTGCTTACTCCCACTGACAGAATTACTGTCATTGACAAGCTAACAGGGGTGAGATGTGGCTGTGGACTGGCTTGCATACACAAAAGTTTAAACAGTGACTGGGCACCAGGAAGTTTGCCAACTCCAGAGAATGCAACAAAGGAGACTGAATACATAGCCTTGACCTATTTTAAACTGATCCTTGCTTTATGGGTTGTATTTTTTGGGGTTTGTTGGTTTTTTTTTTGTTTTTTTTTGTTTTTTTTGTTGTTGTTGTAAGAACTAAAAAACAAGCATTTAATACTCAGAAAGATTAAAGACTGACTTTGGCATTTTTGTGACATTGGCATAACTTCATCCAACGAGAAGCCCACTAGTGTGTGCTAACAAAGCTTCTTATGTTCTTATAAGACGTACAAAAATATAACTGTAAGCAGATGAGATAATTTACACATAATGAGTAGTTTTATGATGTTTTGATGTGCCAGAACATTGTAATTTTGCACGTTTTATATATAACAGGTTACATCCAGCACAAAAAAATCCCCAGAAAATCTCCATCACAGAAGCTATCATAATAAAAAGAGTATGAAAGAATGCTGATAAATAGAAACACACACACATAATATCTTTCTTTTAGATTCATTAAGTTTCTTGACAAGTTCAGTGATTTTTCACTATATATTTTACAAAGTAAACAGTTATTTTATTCTACTACCATTGAAAAAAAATAATAATAAGACTTCTCTTTTCAGGCACCTCAATTCATGATGCAAAGAAGAGCTCTAAAAGTTACTCAGCCTTGTTCTCACTGCTGGCACTGAAAAACATCACCAATTGTTAAGAAATTTGTCCCTGAGACAGCAGGGGAAAAATGAAAAATATCCCCCCCAAAAATCAATAAATTCATCAATCAATAGTCAAGTGGGGATATTGCCAACAACTTCCCTCAAACATGTTAACACAGAACAAATTTCTTTTAAAGTGACACCAGGGGCAGAGCTTTAATTAATTTTCTGAAGTCCCTAAATAATCAACTGGAGAAGTATTTTCTTCTTTGTTCTGAAAATAATAGACCTGATCTGTTGGTACTGGAACCAGAGCTGTTTAATATCTTTGTCAGCAACATGGACAGTGGCATTGAGTGCACCCTTAGCAAGTTTGCTGATGACACCAAACTGTGTGCTGAGGTTGACACACTGGAGGGAAGGGATGCTGTCCAGAGGGACATTGACAGGCTTAAGAAGTGGGCTCATGCAATCTCCATAAAGTTCAACAAGACCAAGTACAAGGTCCTGCACCTGGGTTGGAGCAAGCCCAAGCACAAATACAGGCTGGGAAGGGAATGGATTGAAAACAGTCTAGAGAAAAAGGACTTGGGGGTTATGGTGGATGAGAAGCTCAACATGAGCTGGCAATGTGTGCTTGTAGCCCAGAAAGCCAACCAAGTCCTGGGCTGCATCAAAAGAAGCATGACCAGCAAGGTCAGGGAGGTGATTCTGCCCCTTTACTCAGGTCTCGTGAGACCCCACCTGGAGTACTGTGGCCAGTTCTGGAGCTCCCAACATAAGAAGGACACAGAGCTCCTGGGGAAAGCCCACAGAAGGGCCAGGAAGATGATCCAAGGACTGGAGCACCTCTCCTATGAGAGGCTGAGAGTTGGGGTTGTTCAGCCTAGAGAAGAGAAGGCTCTGGGGAGACCTCATAGCAGCCTTCCAGTGCGTGAAGGGGGCATGCAGGGAAGCTGGGGAGGGGCTTTTTACAAGGGCTTGTAGTGAAAGGACAAGAGGTAATGGATTAAAACTGGAGGAGGGAAGATTTAGATTAGGCATTATGAAGAAATTCTTAGTGTGAGGGTGGTGAGACACTGGCCCGGGTTGCCCAGGGAAGTTGTGGAAGCCGCATCACTGGAAGTGTTCAAGGCCAGGTTGAATGGGGTTTTGAGCAACCTGGTCTAGTGGGAGGTGTCCCTGTCCATGCAGGGGGGTTGGAAATAGATGATCTGTAAGGTCCTGTCCAAATTCAAACATTCTGTAATTCTATGAGTGAGAGCTGTATCTAGCAAGAACTTGCGCACTCACACTTTTGCACACTCGGAACACACATTTACCTATAAAGAATTATTTTTACTTCAAAGTTGTGCTATTTACCTCTTGAAATAATAGTTTCTAAGCCAGTTCCATTAATGAAGGCACGCTTGATGGTCTGTGTTTTCACATCAGTCCAGTATAAACGTTCCTCAACGGCATCAAAATCTATGACTGTCACATCATCAATGTCAGGAACAGTGAAGGCTGTGATGAAGTTGAAGTAAGGATTTTCTATGTCCACTCCTCTTATTTCTGAATGCCTTGCATAAAGAAGAAATTTCTTCCTTTCTGTTAGAAAAAAGGAAAACATCTCTCACTCCTCATTCTTTTCACAATATTGGCAACAGAAGTCCAAGTCATTCATGTAGGTCAAGTTTATATGGAATTATTTAACATCTCCAGAAAACCTGCAGCCTAGAGCAATAAGGTATGTTACAGAGTATAAAAACCACAGGAAAAATACATTCATTCTGGGCACTGGACAAGAAGCTACATCACCACTAAATCAATGTGATCCTTATGCAAGTCTAAGGAAAAAAGCTAGATGATATTTTAAAAATTATATGCCACTTATCCCAACTAACAAAAAAAAGAAACAAAAAAAAGAAAAGCTGTTTCATTTGCACATCCTAACAGTTACTAACATTTGGTACCTCAGGTGAACAGAGCATCAGTGCAACAAGGAAGTTTTCCAAAGAAAAAAACTCAAGCAATTCCAGACAAACAGGTGGAAGAAAAGAACAGATTAATTGTTCTAATTTAGACATCCGCTAAGTAAAAAGGGTGATACATTAAAAGGCAAAACAAAACTCTTAATTTTTTAAATTTCAAAATTCTAAATTATTGGAGCAAAAGTCTGTGAATGAATAGGGAAGGTACCTTTTTCCTTTGTGATATCCTTGATACAACAAAACATGTATTTTATTTCCTAAACACTAATCAACACCAAAACGAGTAATGTGCTACAAGGTTTTACAGATAATAGACACAATTGTTTGACATATTGAAGGCTTTTATAGCTCAGAAATATTTAGTGTCATTTTTTGTAACACTCCCCTACAAGGCTGCGTGTCTAATATTTGTCCTTCATTTTACTTAATCCTTGAAAATGAAACTAAGGCAGCTTTGGAAAAACAGGTAGAGATTTAAGCTATTAAGTACCTTTTGTTATTCTGCTTACCTGCCTCATCATTTTCTGATGACACACTCTACAGTATAAGTCTTTCTGGTTTGTAGATATGTTTTTATTAACATATCATACACATAAGCAACAGAAAAAATGGCTGTGCTAATAAATATCTAAGCTTCACACACCTCATACTAGGATGAGTTGCCAATTCCCCAAAAGTTGATGTCCCTTTAATTTTAAATTAATGTCCTCAAATTTTAAAGATTATGTATTTTAATTTGCACCGTTGAAAATTCTAAAATCAATACAATTGTCAGGCTTTGGAAGAAAAACTTACCATAACATGTCTTCCTGTCTGAAGACAGTTTCATCAGATGTGGACAGGCACATGCTGCACTTCTGTTGTGAGTGATCAGACACATGTGAGAACATGGACCTCTGCCCTCGTTAGCAGCACATGGATTGGAGGCTAAAATTGAATAATGAAATAGACAAAACATAAAACCGCCTTTTGGATCTAAGGTTTGTCAAACTAGCATCAGTACACTGGTGATAAAGTGGTGAAAATCCTGATGAAAGACAAACCCAGCCTCATTGATTCAGAGAGCTTGTACTCTGCTCACTTTTTCTAGGCTGATATTCAGCTCTTGTCCAAGCATAGATTTTTAAGTTTTGTTTTGTTAGTATAGCCACAAAATTTATCATTGTTACTTTGTTAAGGCACAAATTAATAAATTTTTCCCAGTTAGATATTAAATTTGCAGACTATTTATAACATTATAATGTAAACAATTGTACATTCCTAACCAGGACATGGCATAAGAAATGTTTAAACTATTACTTTGTTTTGTGAAAAGTAAAAGCTTACCTGACGCCGTGAATTTTGGCACATTCTATGTTCCCTCTCAATCTGAATCTACCTACTGGAATATTAGTTGGAAGTTTCACTTTCCTTCATATTTAACGGAACACAAAACTGGTGGGAAAAGCAGCACTATAAAGCAGACATAATTGTTTTAACCTGCATGCACAACTGGAAAAGTAAACTACCACGACCTAAAAATGACTTATGCCAGCACATACGTGTATATTCCTTTCATATTCATACTGCTTCCACTGAAGAACAAGCTAAGTCCACTCTTTACTTTCTAATAAAAACTAATTCTCTTGAACACAACTAGCTATGCTATTGCTTTGCCTCTCAAAAATTAGACTCTTATTTCCTTACACTAGCTCTAGTACTTCCTTCTGTTTCTATTATGAATAACCACATAACCATTCCTTATTCACCTTCTCCACGTCATTTCTGATTTCACAGACTGCCATCACACAGAAGCCTGTCTAGAAGTTGTCTTTCAAGAAGCATCAGCTTACCTGTCCTCAGACAAAAGCCTTTCCCATATTCTTATCAGCCTGTCAAGCTTTCTCAATATCTTTAATGTGATCTGCATACAGTGTTCAAGTATAGATTTCTACAGCATCACAGTTCAGTATCTGTGGTTCTTTATTCCTTTCATAATAATTTCTACCAATTTATTTTCCTTTTGATCACAGCAACCCACAGAACTGGCATTTTCACCACCTGGCCAGCCTTTTGCATTATTGAATTGATTTCCACTGCTGACTGCCTGTCAAGCTGTTTCTCTTACAGCACTGTGCACAGATTTATTTATGTCATTCTTTGTCATCGCTTCTTGGCTGCTCTCTAAAATATTATTTAAACAAAACCTTTATTTTTCTTGACCAGTAATCCTTAAAAAAACAAACAAACAACAACCAAACACAACAACAAAACAAAACAAAAAAAGCCTTGGACATTCTATCACCAGTTGACAAATGAATAGTTACTCTGGCAACCTCTGAATATGCACTCATCGTGGACCAACATATCTCCCATATTAACTTCATACTGAACCTCTCCCTTCTTGGCATCAGATTTTAGCAAGGAAAAGTTTTCATCTTACACTTTAATGGAGCGTGACACGATTAAATTCTGCTTACACCTTCAAATAGATGCACTACAGTTACATCAAAAGGATACTTATAAATTGCTGACAACCTCTTCTCACTCATATTTAAAACCAGTTGCAGATCTAATCCTCTCCTCACCATCAATACTCTCTGTAGCACTGCTTTTCATACAACCAAAGATCCTTCAGCTGTATTTAGTCAAGTTAAAATCTTTATACTACCTGATTAAATCAAATTATTTTAGCATTTATCTTTAGAATTTGCAAGTTAGGACTGATCAGAGAATACTTTAGTTCAAATATACATATTTATTTCCTCTATTCACTATTTCTACTTCAGTTTTTAATCAGTCACTTGGAAGAGTTAGTATACCATCTAACAAAAATTTACATATTCACCATGAAACAAAATAAACAATAGTGTTAATTCAAAGTTACAACAATTCTTCATGATCCTCTATTGTATGCACTACAACAGCTTTATGATAATTCTGAAGCTCTTGTTAATGAATCTGTTCTGCACCCCACCCCCCTCCAATGTACAGTTTGAGATGAAAGGGTACTGGAAAAAAACTGAGAAAAACGTAATTAATAATCTTAGTTCAAAACGAAGAAGGGACTGCCTGGTATGACTGACCTTAAAAAAAAGCATAGACATACTAGGGTGAAAAGAAACACAGATGTGAAAGAATAACCAATGGTGTAATGCTATTGTGTTAGCATGTGGAAAGGCATTTATTAGGAGTGGGTGATACACTTTGTAGAAAACTAAAAAAACCACAGGAATTCATGGTTAAAGTAAATCAGAAAAAAGTTGTGATGAAGGATTATATTAAACCTAAGTTGGGAAAGCTGCACAAGATTTACATGAGTCACTGAGAAAAAAAAAATCTGATAAAATTCAATACATTTATAGGAATATGCAAGAAAAAAACCAAAACAATCTCAAGTTACATACACAAGGATGAGCACTGAAATAGCATCTGTGCCTAGAATATCCTCTTCTGAACAAAATATTACATTTATACTGATGAAATGGCTGTCTGATACCCTCTTGTTACAACAGCTAGGACCCCCTGAACAGGTTTATCTGGTGCTAAGGTCAAAACAAGCAAGATGAGGTCCTCTCTCCCACAGTGCATAGTGACACAGCAGAGGCAGCTGCCCGACAAGTCGTAGACATCGGGAGTTTCTGTAAGTTCGAAAGTCAACTAGAAATATTCATGCAAGCAGAATCAAAGACTTTAAAGGCTTCGAAGCATAAAGATACCATTTTAGATCCAAAAATCACCGAGTTACAAGTTGCTGGAAGCTGAGAGCCTCTACATGAGGAGCATGGCTGTTATCTTCCCCCAGGTCCATACTTCCTGTAGACACTGAACAGTCATTGCCAAAAATCGAATGCCAAGTTAAGACAAAGGTAAGAAAGACTGTTTTGGAATTCCCAAAACAAAAATGGAATTTTTACAAGGCACAAAGGGATCCAATTTAAAGTTCAGAAAGACTGCATATATTTTTCGTTATATATATATATATCAATCTTGCTGCTGGTTTTGAAGTACAAAAAAAATATATATATACACAACAAGGTTATGATAAGATCTCAAACAAATTTTTTTAAATCTCCCCAAAACTTTGCTCATGAGCATCTAAAGCTACATTTCTGTAAAACAATATTTATTTTAAATAGCTGGCAATCCAAGCTTCAACAGAGCACCATAACAAACCAGAGATATGAAGTTAAATGGTTTAATTACCAAAAAGCCCAGTGGTACCAATATGCTTTATTTTCAGCAGTTATTATACTGCTTGCTCTGACTTTTAGTCTATAAAACTTCCATCTGCAAAAAAGAAAAATAATGTCATGGCAATGTGGTGGGATTTTTTGTTTGGGGAATGTGTGAGGAATTCACAGCTTTCTAGGTGTTTTCAAGCTGTGATCCTTTCAATGCACTATATTTACTCCTCTCATCACTGCCCTCAATAGTGCACCTCATGGTACAACTTCTGCCTGTTATAGAAGATGTTCTTTGCAGCAAGAGGATTTTTAAAATACAATAGTTGTTGAGAAAATATTCTTCCTAGAAAACCTCTGTTTGCCACATTTATAGCATTCCTGACATACAGCTTTGAATCTGTGAGGATCAGAAGGTCTCAAACTCATAGTCCCGAGATGTGATATTTTACATAACATCATGTAGCCTTCCATAAATCCCTGTGGTTTATTAACAGATGAATCTACTATCCATAAATATCCTGCTGTAACTTCACTACCTTAAATCAGCATCTGTCCTAGATTAACTGAAATAATGTTGCTTTAGGCTACAGGAATTTATTTGCTCTGCTCTACTTTATTTCAACCAAAATAAGATGCATGAAATATTTTAAAAGTTAATAAACTTTCACCTGCATAGGTGTCCCAGATGTATACCTAGGGAGTTGAGACTAAAATGTCTGTCCTTCAGTGCTCTATTTAGACTGACAATTTGCAGTGAAAATCTACTGTTAACTTTATCTTGGGATTCTAAACTCCATCCTATCTTATTTCATGTACTGTAAAATGGCTACAAATTCAAAAGAAGAATTAAGAAGCAATCACATAGTATCACAATTTTTCTTTAGCTCCAATATAACTATGTACTGGAGATCTGTAGAAAGAAACTGCTTCCATTAAAAGAGAGAAATTTAGAGCAAACCCAGAAGGGCAATCATAAATGGGAATCTGGTGTTTTCTACATCATAAAATAAAAGCTGCAGTTACACATTTAGTTATTGAAATTTCTGGATTCTGGCAAGTAACTGCTGAAGACCCTCCTACAGCTTATACCTTGTCTTGAGGCCAAAGTATCTGTAACTATGGAATACTGAGTGATGCCCCCCTAGGCTAAGGTCCCTGTCTAAAGACTTTGCCTGGCCCCAGTCCAAACAGGAAAGAGTTGTGTTTTTTTTCTGACAGGAAGAAATAGCTAATGGGAACTCCACTGCTACTGTGAAAACACTGAAAAAATAAGACAGTTCCCCAGATCACAAAGTTCAGGCAGGAAGTGACTATTTATAAAAAACAGCAAAATCCATTCCTTGAAAGAGGAGTGCAGGGATGGATATTTATGTCACATGTGGAGATTTTTACTTGCTGGTACTCACTCATAATAGCTGGAGCTATTATCCATAGTTTTCTATGTACAATGATATAATAGAGAGAAAGCTGAGAAAGCTGGCATTACCTTCGTGGCTGAGAGGTTCTGTGCCCTCTTCTCTTTTTGATCAATACTCTGATGTATCTAGTTCCAAGACTGGATTTTGAAATTGTCAGCAACATCATAATAATGTCTTCCTGTCCCATATTTATTTTTGTAACTTTAAATGTATACTAAATATCAACATAGCTATAGACATATTAAAAAATGTAACTTTACTTAAGTCTTCATTTTACATGGGGATCCACTGAGAGAACAGATCTCCAAGTATCCTTCCAAAAAAATAGCTGAAGAAGTTTAGGCAGGACCATTTTCTTCTGCTTAGTATCTTATCACACCCTTTCATTACTACTTCAGCTAACCACCTCATCCAGGCAAATCACAGCATAAAGTGAATATTTACAACTAAAAATTGTATACACAGTTGATTTCACAGAAAAGTTTACCTTCCTCTGGAGAGAAGTAAGAGAAACACAAATACCATTGTTATGATTATTTTTGTCAGACTGGATACTCCAGTTAAAAAATAAAATAAATGTTAAGTCAGGAGCCTTTTAAATAAATATGGTACCGCACTATATTTGTAACAGATCAAGAACAAGGGTCCAAATGGGCAACATTCACAGACACTGATTGAGTGGAGCTTCCTGGTTTCTATAAAGATTCCATTACCACCAAGGAATACTAGTGCTAAACATGGCATTTAATAAAGAATTCTCAGTTCAAAGCAAATTCATATCCAGATACTTGTACATAAAATGAATACATTTCTCCCCTCACATTAATAATAATTAATTGTTCTATAAATGGTTACCTTGGGGTTGACGACTTGGATGATATATCTGAAGATCAAATGGCTGAGCACTTGTTTTTTGTATTACACTGACATTTTGGCCTGTCCATTTATTGGCTTTTGCAAGTGTATTGGTCCTCCAATCTGTCCAATAGACTTCACTCCCATACAAAGAAACAGCAAAAGGGTGTGAAAGATATTCATGACCCCGTATGATCTCTATCATGCCAGTTCCATCATATAATGCAGAATAAATAGCATCCGATCTACAAGATAAGCCCAAACTTATGATTACATGAAAAAAAAATAAAAATCACACAACTATTACAACATTGCTGCAAAATACATAAAAAACTTTACTCTTACATACTGGTAAGACCAAAGAGTGCAATCATTAACTTCAGAGACTATTTAGTTCTCATTGTTAATTTAAGTAAGGATATGAAATGTTGGTTTGCTTGTCTACTGTTTGTAAATTCAAATGTGCCTCCACACTGTGAAAATACAGCAGGAAAGTCAGTTTCTGTTCAGATGAACTTATGGAAAAAACAATGCAATAGCTTTGGTCTTCCACATGTAAGTGTCAGGGAGGGCTAATGGCCATCTGCTACTGCTGTTTAAGGCAGAGGGAGACAGGAGCCATGGATGATACTACAACTGACAGGGAAAAGGCATCACTGTCCAGGGCCACATTTCACTGCCCCTGAGAAAGGTGAGCACAGCAGGCCCTGGGGGTGACAGCCAGATTCAACCAAGAGTGCAAATCAGCAGAAAAGTTTGTGGTGACAAGATAGGGTCATACAAGGAAGCCACCCCTTGGATTGGGATCTAGACCAAAAGTTCCCAGTGCTTGCCAGGCAGTGCCAGGCAGCACTTCCCACGGCTGGGCAGGAGATGTGCTCCAGTGGTGCTGCCCAGACAGGGGCTGAGCTCCAGGGCTCAGCTGAGATGGGCCAACAGGCATTTGCACACAAGACTCTTCACATACATAATGTACAGAACTATATTTCACTTGTATTTCCATATGTAAGAATAAGGTAATAAGAAATACTGTTATCCCTTTACCTGGCATCTGTCCATACTATTCTTTTCTCAAAGTGATCTACAGTAAGGCCATTGGGCCAGGCTCCAGTATCCATATCTTTATATATGATCTTCCTTTCTGCTCCGCTCATGGAAGCGGATTCAATGCGAGGAAAATTTGCATCCCAGTCTGTCCAAAACAGAATTCTGGTGAGAGGAAAACAAAACAGATACAAGAAAATATTAAAGCATGCAAATGATTCAATAAGACAATAGTCGGAAAAGTGTTCAAACATTCACACGTGACTGAAAGGAATAAACACACTAATTTCAGCAACTATAGAAATTCCTTGAAGTAACATAGGTTAATATTTCCTTATTAGTGTTACAGCACTCATGAAACACAAGAATTTTTTTTAAAAATCCAAGTCTAATAACATTCCCTTTTTTGTGTCTATTAATACAAACAACAGCTTGTTTTGTCTTCCTCCTCTAATTAGAAATCCAGCTCATTAAAAAAATATCTATAATGAGAGCATTGAAAGCAATCCACAGATGAGGAGGACGGGGAGTGGAGAAAGGGAAGAAATGAGACTTGAGGTAGTAGGTATTGAAGAACATGATAAAACAGAGATTTCCATTTAGTATTAAGAGCATTCCAGTGAAGACCTCTAGATTTTGGTAGGTCACTGTGGCCTTACTGAGAGACATTTATACGTGTGTGTGGCAGCTGGGACAGTGAAGATCCAGAGGTACCTACTGGATGGACTGAGTGCCCAGCTTCAGCAGTGTGTGTGCTGGGATCCTCACCATTAGCTAGTGTGGGGCTCATACCTCCTGGACCAGCAGCTGGGCAGCCCAGTGATCTCAGGGACAGCCACTGACTGTCTAAACCCAGCTACTGGAGCAATCCACATTACACGTGAACATATAATTCCCACTACAAGACCTTCATCCTTAACAGCCAGAGAGGTTAACAGGATTAGACCACTGGTGCTATTGCTTTGTGTCAGCACCGAGTTTCTGCCTGTGTAGACCTTTGAAGTCATACACATCTACTTATATACATTTATTTATACATACATCTGTGTACATGCTCATCCTCACTGAAGGTTGGAATCAAAGCCATGGAGCTATGGCAGCCTTGCCTCCACTGAGACACAGAATCTGTGCAATCCTAACACAACCATCTACTTTTAATCATCAGTGTTTGTTTATTCATATTTATGTGTGAAAAGACTGAAGAAGTGCTCCCATCTGTCTGCAAAGGTTTTATTTTTTCCTTACTTCTAAAAAAAATGCAGCACACATTTTCTTCTAGCTTTTAAAAAGGCAGATAAGCCTTTAGATTCATGAAGAGTGGTGATTTGATGTTTTGTTTGTTGTTTTTTTTTTCCTTCCTTTTCTTATCTGCCAATTCTTCTGCCAACAGGATGCCTCTTTTAAAAAATGTCTATAGATAAATGATGCACTCTGTAAATAAGCTTTCTAGCACCAGGATTGAGAGGTTAGGACGCTTACTCATTAAAGCATTTACTCCCTAATTCAGAATTTAAAGTCCCAGTGGGACCTCGGGTCCCAGATTCTTTATCAACTTTTATTTTTATGTCCTCAGCAGGGTTTCTGAAATAGATTTTCAGTGAAGACACATGACAGACCACAGCAGGATTCTAAACAAAATTAAATATCATGATTCTGCAAACTCTAATGTAATATATTTATTTTGGGGGGCCACATTTAGGGGTTTCTTTTTTTTTTTTTTTTCCTCCCTCTTTGAAAGAAAAATACTTATGGGAAGAGGACTGAGCTATTGACCATTACTTCTGGCCTCTCTAAGGATCCAACTACACACACTATTGGGTAATGAGGTTTCTGTAACAAGTCTACAATTTCATATAGCCTCAAAACCACTTCTCTAACTCCAAGAATCATACATTTTTGGTAGTAGTAGACTGAATTGCAATATCAAACCAGAACCAACACCTAGCTCAACAGGGAGTTAATGGTTTCATGAAAAGTTTTAATTCCGTTCCACTGCTTAAGTCTATTGACTTAAATGTTAATATAAATGGCATGCATCAGTCATTTTTACTCTACCAAAAATTGAGATAATTTTTAAAGTAAGCAAAAACATCCTAAGCAATGTACTTTTTTTTTTAACTGTGAAAGTTTCAAAAGGCAATTGTGAAATACATTTATATGTTTGATGATTGCTATAATTACACTTTCTAGAAAAAGTTTTATTGTGTTAGCATGTTACCAAAATGAGGCAATATTTTTAATTCAATACTCTTTTTAAAAAAAAACAACTGATTTTGGCCCATTTTATTTAGTATCTTGTTTGATATTATGAACGTATTCTAACATTTATTAGAAACTTTTAATTATATCAGGCATATGATAAAATATATATTTATGGTAGTAGACTGAATCTACTCCATTTAGTTGCTTACAATTACTGTTATTTCAGTTGACAGAATATCCCTTATGAATAGGTAGAAAAAATACTGACAAGTTGGCAAGCATTATTTCCATTTTAAAGATGGAGAACCATCACAGAAGGTGGGATTTAACTCCATCCATTTTAATCCTTCCAGTAACTTCTGAGCTATACTTTTACAGTCCTACCAAAAAAAACAATCTGAAGTGAGATGAATCACCTTGGCAATATCTAAATCTGTCCATTTATCACACAGGAAGGTTAGACCAAAAGCTCTAGTTACTATAATCCACATATAAAAAATTAGTCTAAAGAATATCATAGCAAGTAAAGTAGAAGTAAAATAGATCCCTGTAATTCCTCACTTACCTTCTCTTAACCCTGTTCACTGGGACAAAATACTGTAATAATGGATTGTATTTCACTCAAAATATACTTTCAGAATCTATTAAAGATAGGGAGTATAGCTCACAGCAAAGAAAGAAATCAAGCAATCTCACATTTAAACATCTATCTTTAAAAGAACTTGCAACATGAAAAAGTCATATTTTATTATTACCCATATCTGGGATCCAAAGCAATAGCCCTTGGATGTTCCATAGCTCCTGCTATTAATGTTGTTCTCAAAGTGCCATCTAATTTTGCTACTTCAATTTGGTCCAAATTGCTGTCTATCCAGTATATATTCCCTGCAATCCAATCTACAGTAAGACCTTCAGGTGTGGCCAGGCCATGTTGAACCACCACTTCAATGGCACTAACACCTTAAAAAAAAAAAAAAAAAAAAAAAAATTTTTTTTTGCACCAACCAATTAAATGGCCTTAACAAAAAAAAAAAAAAAAAAAAAAAAAAAAAGGTGGGGGAAAGAGAGAGAGAGAAAGTCTTAACTAACATTGTCTGATACAGTGAACATCAACATACAAGTCGTCTACCATATGCCCTTCCAGTGAATTCTTGATTAACCTGATAGATGATAATACTTTGTTCCATGTGACACTTCTTCTGCAACAGAATTGTTCTAAGTAATTACACTTTTGGCATTATACAAATAAACTTCATTCCACAGTAATAGGAATTTTTAGTTCTCCAATGCTCTCATTAGTGGAGATTTGGAACTTTCAATAAAGGTCAGAGATGACATGCAGAGTAACACAGGAGATGTACATGTGCCCTATCACGAGGGACCTCTTTTGCAGCATCTGTGAAGAATATGCTCATGCTTCACCTCCCAGTGACTAGACACACATATGTGCAGCTTTATTTCTCACTTCTTTCTCAATCAGAAAAAGAGGAAACTGAAAGACTGTGATGAAGACAGAAATGGCAGGAAGAACCTTGTTTAGACTATACATTTTGAAAAGCTCTTCAAGAAATACCTTATGTGGCACCTTTGAATTCACATGTACAATTTATACTCTCACTGTCTACAAACAGGTCTTCCCTAACAAATGCTTCCTCTGGAGGATCTCACACAAACAGCAACTACAAAAGCACTTTGTTAGCCCTCGGACCTTCCAGGAAGGCACAGGGCTTTTTTGTAGATACAAGTCCATTTTTGACAGCTGTAAGACTGAAGGAGTAATTTTTTTTTAATATATGTATATTTTTTAATACAGCACAGAAGTCACTTGAGTGCTGGTACAGGATGATTATAATACAACTTGATGACAACAGACTACCTTACTGTAACATACAAACACCACTACTGAAAAGCAGCAAGTCTTTGTCAGTCCTTACATGTATTGCAGTGTATATTTATTTCCTGGTCTGGATCTATGGTTATAAAGATATCCACAAACACCATCTAGTAAAGATGAAAAAATGCCCAGAAAACAGAAAACCCAAACATGTTGGAGAACAAATGCACAAATGCATCTGTGAACTTTTCCAAAAGCAAGTTAAATGGGATTATCTCTGTTAGTGCATGCAGGAATGAAAGCACTTAAAATGTACCTCCACACAGAAAATGGTGTAGAAACACTTTTGTGTATCTTACGGTATTATATTGAGTTACAGGATGTAATTATATCACCAGAGTAAAGAACAAGTCTTTCTGAATGCAATAAAATTATGAAGCAAAATCTTTCACTTAGTGAGAGCAGAGAATTTATCAGGTGTCTGATAAATTCTTATACTTTTTTATTAAGGTGAAAGTAAATTACAAATTAAAACCCCCCAATATTTCACTCATTGGACCAGGAAGAAATATCAGCCTTTTACATTTGCCATTTTCTTCCCCCTATAGCCTGCTAAAGGAAGCCTTTATAACAAAAGGTCTTCTTCTCTCTCTACATCAAATACAATCTAGATATACATCTTATTAAAGGCAGAATGCCACCATAGTTTCTGTTTCACTTAATGGGAGCTCAGTTATGATTTGCCAGGTGGAACACCCTGTAACTGCAGTTGCTCTTAACTGCTAAGAAATTAAAGATTAAATTCATACCTCCAGTATCAGAAAGCTTGCCTCTGTAAATTTTGTCTTCTACCACATCTGTCCAGTACAGTAAACTCTGACTGAAATGAAAATCAAGTGCTATTGTATTTCTTAAACCAGGAACTAAGAGGCTGTAGTCACGTTTGTGAAGATCAATTTTCCTGATCTCATGTCGAATGGAAAAAATTATGAAAGCTTCAAATGGATCTGGAAGCAGAAGATTATGCATTTTTTAAAAAAATCGTAAAGAAGATATTGTTACATATTGTTATAAATGACAAGTGTAATAAGAACAACAGAGTACATTATCAGGAGAAAGAGATGATTAAAATTATTAATGTTCTGATAAGGAGTCTTCAAAATATATTTTTAGTCCCACAAACTTCTCACTTCATCTTTCTAGCATTATCTTTGATCACAACTAGAGATATTAATAAATTCAGGAATACCAAACTCAACTATTGAACCTTGTTTTGTAGCTCTACCACAAGGAGTCCATAACTACTTAAAAAAAAATAAATCTCAATATCAAAATCTGTTTTCTCAAGAGTTTCAGAAAAAATTAATCCATTAAATTATACATTGTTGTAAATGCTAGCTGGTTGAAACAAATAAAATGTACCTTTTGAATATATATAATGTACCTTCCATTTTCAATTTAAGTGCTTTAACCCAAACAACCTGACCCCAAACTACCAAGCAAGGACATGGACATTTCCTACTCTTATTGATCCACCACCATCACAAATCAGCTGTCACTGAGGTTCTTCTTCCTTTGTTATTCAACTGATGCCAAAGTATTTGTGCCTTTGAGTATATAAATATAAGTAAGTGCTCTCTGCATAGGTCAACCATACTATAAAATTGTTTTTCCAATTTACAGTTCTTACATATTTTAGATTAGGAAAAGTTTTTCTAACAAATAGTCATGTTAATAAACAAAAAGAATACAAAAGTTGAATGCTGTGAACAGTTCAATCCACTCAGCATATCCACTTTAATAAAGTTTTTTCACATCCATCCATTTATTTGGGAAAGTAGCTTGTTTTAATCTTCCCCTTCCAGTTCTTTACAAACGGCACCAGGGTTTTTTGTTTCCCATACAATTAAACCTCCATTTATACAAAAGATAAGAATACTGGTTTATGGCAATAGGAACAACTGCACTGTTCTTCTAAAATATTTAAAGTTGCACAAATTATCATCAAATAGAATGACACACATTTTTTCTGAACGATTGAATTCATGTTCTTCTCTTGAGAACCATTGCACATACATATTAAATTATCTACGAAGTTTCAAATTAAACAGGTACCTCAGTAGAGCTGTTTCTGCTCTTGAAGTACTTGTTCATAACCTGGTTTGAACTTTCCAGATGATCCTCCTATGTGTTAAAGCAATGAATGACTTTCTGCAAAGCCAATTTTTCAAAGTTCTGCAGTAGTTAAATCATATAATTAAGAAGAAGATCACTGACATAAGTAGCTGTTTCACTAGTACCTGTTATCTGAATCTGAGGAACACAGTACTGGCACTTCCTAATTGCTGGTAATTGGCAGATATTATGCAGAAGACCACAGGCTAATAAAATACTGCTTTTTAGGCACCTCCAGTGTGTAAGAGCACACATGATGGACACCAGCAGCAGATTCCTGTATGTTTCTCAGTAATTAGCACCACAATGGAAAAAAACCCTATTAAATCTGATATGTGTTGGATAGGGTTTATTTTTTTTATTTTTTTTTTCATTCAGACTAGAGGAAGTCTAGATTAAACTACACAACCTGTGGTGGAAATTATCAAGTACTCTGATAACAAGAATGAGAGATAACAGGATCTTGACAATTTTAAGGCACAATACTTAAGAATGTAAATAAAAAACGAGAAATGGGTGAGAAGATAGGTGCAGGGAAGCTAATACAATTTTGTTGATTTGTACATTTCAGTTTAAATGAGCAGGTCTCGTGCTGCTTTTTCACTTCTTTCTTACCCTTCCTGTAATGATGCAAATATGCAAATTCAGACCCTTGGTTATTGTGGCTAATACACAGTCAAGTCACAACTGTGATACTACAGACAGCAAGAGAATGACTGATAGTGTGACAAACAAGAGGCACTGCATCACAGTGTAAAATTTCCCTGGAAAGAATTCAGAAACCAGACAGAAACCAGTTTTAAATAGATTCCTCTATGATAAGTCTATTTGAATATTTAAACACAGCCAAGTGGATAGCAGTTATTATTGCCTAGCTGGTGAATTGTGAGCCAGAGTCCAGCCATCACTCTGCTGTACACAGTGCAGCAATCAAGGACTGTAGCCTGTATGAGTGGAGTAGTCTAGACTTTTATTCATTTTTCCTGTCCCCCCTATTATTATTACTATTATTGTACTAAATATCACATTTCAGGGAGATTAAGCTGCATACAATTGAGTATGTAATTGACAGGATACCAGATCTGTAGGAAAGAATTCAGCAAAATAGATCAACAGTGGCATGGCACTGTAAAGAAGGTAAACTCAAGGTTTGTGTTTGAAATAAATTTGATATAACCCTTCCACTCCCTCCCACTAAGCTTTGGTGAACATAATCCACAATACTCTGCACTGTTTTGAGTACAGCTCAGGAAGAAGAATGTGAATCAACTACAGAAATGCAGAAGGAAATCAGCAAGTGATTTAAGAAGCTTGCAAGGAAAGAACAAATAAATTGGAATCGCTTAGTCTAAAAACAATGGATTAAGATGATGAGTGGAAGCACATCAAATTCTCCATAGACATAAAAGGCCAATGAATTGAAAATGGGAAAAATCTTCTTTACTACATAAATAACAAGTAGGGCAAGGATTAAAGGCTTAAACTAGAGCAGAAAGACTCAGAAAGACAAGGAAAACAATCTTAAGGACAGTGAGACACTGACACATCTCACCCCTGGGGAACTTGGGAGTTCCCCACTAAAGGTGGGTCTTTGAAGGCAGTTAAACAGCAGCAGCATTAGATAGCCTTTGATCTCCCTTCCAACCTTATTATTCAGTGACTATATACAGTGAGCTATATTACCATGAATTAGAACTTCCAGAAAAAAAATAGAATCAATTTTATTGAAGGTTATGCTTCCATAACCCTATAACACAAAAAATTTGATGTCATTTTCCCAATTGATTCCTCTTCTGGAAATTGAGAACAAATACTCTTATTTTACTTACTGATCACCAGTATTTTCACAAAAAACTCACCTTAACTCAACTTAATGTAATCGTTATTGATTCCATTCTTCAAAGTTGTTGCTTGTTTGGTTCTTTTAAGTAATCAATAAAAATTTGTTAAAAGTAAAATCATACATTTCTGTACCTTCTGGTATCATAACTGCACAAGCTTTTTTACCATGTAGGTAAGTGTATAAAATATATAATATAAAGCATGAACTGCATTAGCAGTTGTAAGAAAAAAATGCTGAGAGAAGAAAACTTCCTAAAGAACACACTCAGAAAAGACTGTACACCTTTGCTTCACCTCTTCCAGTGTGAATTTGAAATTCCTTCCTGGAAAAATGCTGAATGTTATTGTTTCACTGAAGCTTACTGTAATAACAGTAGCACAGCAAACAACCTACAATGGGCTTTTATGAAAGGAAAACGATAATTGCACAAGAAATCTGAAAAAAACCCCAACTTCATTAGAAGTTTGACATTGATTGGACCATCTTCCCTCCCCTCTCCATTTCAGTACTGAAAGCTATCTGGGAAGTTTAACAACACTGAATTCAAAACCAGCTAAAACAGATCAAACATAAAGATATATCACTGTTTTAACCAAATATATAAATCTAGTGATATAAAAGAGTTCCCACAGATGAGAAAATGTTGACAGTCATTTTTAACTAAAACTATATTAAGGTAAGTGTTTCTGAGTTCATCTAACTTTTATTATTCAAATTTTGAAAGGCTGAACATAAACAAGAAATCTTTCAAGAACAGTTTTTTTCTGTATGCTTATTAAAATCTAAAAGTTCAAGTGCAATATATCAGCACAACTGATTTTGAAATGCGTTCAAAGAGAAACTAGGAAGAAGAGTATGAAAACATATAATTTATATTGACTTGAATAATGGAGCTCTGCAGCATACTTGTAGTTTAATCAATACAAATTTAAATGTGAATGAAACATTTAGTCTTTGGGAAGTCAGTAATGTAACAATACAGATGACAGAAGAGCAGAAAGCAAACAAGGTGAAAACAAGTTATATGGAAAATGAAGAAACTGGAGGAGAAAAACACAATACTTAAAACCCTCAAGAAATGAAGATAACAAAAAGAAATAAGATAAAACAGGAGAAACTAAGGGAAATATGTTGAAACAGACACTGAAAGAGAAACTAAGAGCAAAAAAACTGCTGAATTCAAGTATTTCTATCTACTTAGTATTCCATAACACATTTAATTATCTGGTAATCCATTAGATTCCTCTGACAAACACACTGATTCTCATACGCGATCCAAAAACGAAGGGGGGGAAAAAAATCACAGACATAACTGCATTTCCAGCATTCACATTCTCATTAGATTTCTGGTGGACACTCAAGTAAATGCTTTTACAGTATGCTGAACAAGTGAAGTGCTGCATACTAACTGGACAGGTTATTGCAGTGTACTAGTGAAGTGCTCGACTGTATAGAGGGAAGAGCTGTTTTAAACAGCAAAAAATGTAGCTGAGGGCAAGGTAACAATTTTCTTCTGGACAATATTTTTTCTCCTGGAAAAAGGATTACTAGTTACTGCTCTAATATAATACACACCTACTGATGGTTCAAGGCATTTTAAATCACTATAGCTATTTTAAAAGTTTATTTATACCAACAGGTATTAGTATATTTTGGCATTTGGGGGACTATTTATCTTTGCATGATCACTTTGAACTCGTCATCGTATTATATGAAAGGCTCTTTCTTAATTTTTTGTTCATTTAAGGTTTCATGCACAGAGATGTAAATGGTATGGACACTCTGAGGCTAGCAAATTCACAAATGAGACCAAAGTTGTGTTAATTTTACTAAAATGATGTTCACACATTCAACAACTAAATTAGCAGAGGATCTGTCCTTCAGAGTACTTATCATGCCTTTCAAATGAAATCAAATAAAAGATGCAAGGTTTATTAGTACTTTCATAAAGTATATCTCATATTTAATATGGAATAATTCTGTCACCCTGTGATGACATTAGCACAGTGTCTTCATGGTTTGTGAAGAAAGGCATCACTTTCTTTTCACCAGCTGGCATCACTGGTCTCAGATAATATATTTACTATTACATTATTGGAAAAAAAAATAATCTGTAAAAGCCAATCTGTAACTCTAGATTCTCCCCAACATCAGTAGACATTATGCAGAAGTATCTCATGAGTTTAAGAAAAACTGAGGAATTACAGTCTCGCTTTTCTTAATTTAAAGCATGGGAATACATTTCACTTCAGGGTTTTCTTCCTTAGCTTCCAAATACTGGTCACTTCTATTTGCTTTAAAGTTGCTTTCAAACTTTCCTTCACCAAGTTACTAACACTGTCTTAAATGCTTTTAATTCTTTAATTTCTGTAACCTAGTAAGTGCACTTTCTGAATTATTGAAAATGTTCATGATAAAACAAATTAAAGTGATTAAAAGTCAAAGAGACTAAGACTAAAGCAGTGTCATCAAATAAGAATTTAACTGCACTAAAGCTTAGATATACAGAACCACATCATATGCCAGTGAAGTAAGATTTGGGACTCTATTGTCAGCATGGCCCAAAACAGCTGAACATACATTCTTGATCTCATTCTGTTATAGTACCTATTTACATAGGATAGTAATTATGGACACACAAAGACTCAATTTAATGGTAATTCCAAAACTTTTAACAACAGTTATTCCAGCCTCATGAATGTGAGCCACATTCTTTATAAAGTTTAAAAGCAACTTGCCTCAAAGCCAAGATGCACAATTGAAAAGAACATTGATGGCACAGAACTTAATTTTACTTATTCATTGTATTGGCAAAGAGAAACTTTGTTTTATTACAGACAACAGATATTTTGGCCCATAAGTACATTTCACTACTACAGTAACAAATTTCTAAAATGTCTGCAAATTAGCTCAAATACTGTCAAAGCAGAAGGATTAGAATTTGCCTTTTCTCAATCACAGACCACTAAGTTAGCTGCTAATTATGAAATTATTTTAGGTGACTAGCAATAGGAAACTTGGACTTTTATTTCTAGCTTACTGATTCTGAATTTCTTCACGTGATTCCACTGAGGAAATGCTGAGTATTTTGAGTAAATAATATCTTAACTATGATACCTATTGAATTATGAAACATCCAAATAACTGATAGTTTGGGATATATTTGTATTCACAATTACTAAGATACTATCATAGAATAAATATAATATGAAGGAAAATATAAAATAATACTAAACTGAAATTCTGAAAATCTAGGCAGCAAAATCAATGCTATTTATAACTCCCTACAGCAGCATTAAAGATGTGATGAGAGTTTATACTGCACATACATGTTTGTATTTCACACACGTACCTGCACTGCACTTGAACAAGACACCCCTAACACAGTTTCTAAATCATGCTACGTGTCCATAGTGAACAATAAGGGCAATGAATTCCCTTCTCAGTTTTTGGTTTATGTTGGTTTTTGTTCTGATTAGTGAGCTGAACAGGCTTTACTGAGGCCAGAAAACAAGTACTAGAATGTCGTAGGTGAAAGAACAGCTTCAATTCTGAATGCAAACTGGCAGCAGATAATTGGCTATGTGTTTGTGCAGGCACATTCTAAATTAAACATCTGAACTCTCAACTAATACAGATCAATATAATGATGTCAAACATTGATCCATTTCTTCAAAATACAAAAAGTCAATCCCCCATATTCCATATAAACACACATGCTTACATATATATATATATCCCCTGCATATTAAATATTGATTAAAAAATATAAAATTTCAAACAACTTAGAAAATATTTTATATTAGCATTCTTAAAAAGTCTTATAAGCAATGAACCAATATTGCAACACCCTTTCATTCTGCATTAGGAATAGGGACAGCTTTAATCAGCTCCTCAGATTGCTAGCAGCCCCACCTGTGGATAATGCAAGCTTGCATTTCTTATTAGAAGAAATAAACTCTCACTAAATGGATATAGCAGCTATTATTATCTGGAACATTGAAAATACAGTGCATTACAACTTACCAGTACTAACACAATTCTCTCCATCCTTACTGAGCTTCCAGCCTTCATAACACGAGCACTTGACGGTATTTTTATGCTGTTCACATACTTGACTACACCTAAGGTGCTTGGTACAGTAATCCATAATCTCACAGGTTTTGTTGTCTGTACTGAGGCTGAATCCTGCAGGGCAGGAGCATACAATTCTTCCTCCAGGAACCACTGAACATTGATGGCTACATCCACCATTGTTAAGGGAACATTCATCTGAAATAACATGGAAAAAACACCCAACATTAAGGGCCCAAGGCTTTTCAGTTACATTGCATATTCTTAAAGTCCCCAGGTCAACTCAAACACATACAAGGCCTCTAAAGGAGAACAAACTTAATTTTACACTCATTAAGTAGTATTTCTTTTAAAGCTTCATTAATTTGTAAGTATTTAGCTTTACAGTAATCTTTCAGGATTTTAGAATTGCAGTATACACATGTATACACATTTTTGAAGTTTCATGCATATGATTTCAGCCACTTAAGAATTAGAGACTGTCCATATGGAGTCAGCCCAAAGATTATTACAGGTCAACCATCTTCAATGGTGACCAAAAGCTGATGCACACAGAAATAAGCATAACCTTCCCACACACTTCCCTTACCTCCAGCCACTTGAACCTGAGGGGAGATGGCTCCAACCCTTAGTCCTATGCAACTACACCCCAAATAACTTGTCAAAGAAATAAGATTTTAAAATCAGGATTTCTCTCTCTTCCAGTAACAGCTACAAGAAAATACTACTTCAGCATTCCCTGTGTCAGTGCCCTCCTATTACATTCTGCAAGTAACTCATGGTTTGCAAAGCTCTCCTAAATGGATTGAAGGTGATTTGTGAAACCTTTAAAGCATTTGAATTAAAAAAGCATGATAACTGTGTCTGTGAGAAATTCTGTGACCTCTGGGGCAAAAAAGCACAGAACTACTCCTCACAGTACTACTGATGTCCAGGGAATCAATGGGAGGGACAATCTGATCCATTGTTACGCTGGAAACTAGGCTTCACTTCTATTCCTTTTTAATCTATTTTTGGTTTTAGTTATTTTGCTTGAGTCTCACAAGCCTCTTTGCTCATTAGTGCTAAAGTGTATAAAATATAACAGTCTTCTACGGAAGAATTATTTCCTTCCCACTTAAAAAGAAAACAACCCCCCCAAAAAAAACCCCAACCAAACAAAACACAACAAACAAACAACTCAAATCCCTTAAAGCTTCATACCCTTCTTCTCACAGTCCTTTGTACACATTTCAAGTTTGGGTTGTTTGCATTCAATGTTTTTAATCATGATAAAAAGGGTTAAGCTCCTTTATGTGTCTAACGTGCAAATGCTTTGCCCAACATTTGTCCTTCAGTAAAATAAATTACATTATGCTAGAATTTCAGGGATTAACCTGTAGTTCTCAGAAAGGACTCTCTCAGGGCTACAACATAATCTTAACATATTCCTGAGGAGCACTGAAGATCCCTTCTTCCAGTACATTCTGCAGACCAACAGAGCAGGCAGTGTCCAGACCCCTGCCGTTCCCTGCAGCATCTGTTGCCCAGCCAGTGAACTCAGCTCCTCTGCCAAGCCTTTCAGATGACTCAGTACAGCCCCGTGCAGGGTCTCCTAGCACAGATAGATCCCAGAGGGTGAAAAATGCTTGAAAAAAGCTCCATATGTTTTGCAACAAAGCTGGAGATTGTAAAACACTTTATGCAAAGCAAAGTCACCAGGGAGAATAAAACCGTTGATATCATAAAAAAGAATTGTAAAATCACCTAAACTTTTCCTACAGCCACATTTGAGTTCTTATCCCTAAACCATAACTACAGTACAATACTATGCTATTGTAAATTTTTTAAAATCTATTATAAAGCATGTGCAAAGATAAAAATAATAACTAAATTAGGTTATCTGTTATACTTCTGTCAGATGTATAAAATTATTTTCATACCAAAAATATTTTTTTTTACTGAATACAATTTTGCTGAGATAATCTATGTTGTCTGACATGCCATGAAATCCTTTCAACACCACCCTTGAGGAGCCACATTAACTCCTTCTAGCCATCCCAAAGCAGTTCTTTATTAATTCCTATACAGCCACTGACAGGATTCTATCAACTCAAGCTTTTGTAGTTTGAGACAACTGCAAATTAGCTTAAATCCTTTCACATATACCACAGCCTTTTAAGCTGTTAATTTCCAAGAGTATTTTAAGTGGTCAGGAAACTAAAGACTCACGTAAGGAACTAGGTTTTCCCTTATTTGAAGAAGCACAAACCCAGCATGACTTCAAATAAAAAAAATCCTCACAAACGCTTCTGTGATAAAAATTCAGTAAGATTAACACAAGAACTGTTTCTTCAACAGGAAATATTCTAAGAGACAATACCAAGTATAATCGGGAAAATGCATCTAAAAGAAGTACCACAAAGATCGCCTTCATCAGATCCATCGGGACAATCTCTTCTCCCATTGCAGAGCTTCTCAGGCTGTAGGCAGATGGAGGTATCATTAGCACAAGGGTATTTTGGTGGTCCACACATATAGCCCTCGCAATTATCCTCATCAGACTGATCCTCACAATCAATATCGCCATCACATAGCCACGCTTTGCTAATGCATCTCCCTTGGAGAAAAGAGACAAACACAGGAAATCAGACTGGAAGCAAACTTCAGGGAAAAAACCTTCAGTGACATGACATTTGTTTATTATGCTTTTCTACTAATAGCACTTTCCCTTTAGATGAACAGAGGGAACCAGCTTGTACTTGTACTCTGAAGCATCACCCACATCAGTGTTGACAGTCTAATTTTCCAAACAGCATCAATCCTAATTATTTCTATGCTAAGCAGAACTACATACAGGCAGGACATATCCTCACAATCTGTTGAGTATATCAATTTATACAAAGATGTTTTCTTTATTTTTTATTTTAATATCCAATTTTCATCTCTCTTCCTTTCTCTTCTACTCAAACATGTTTCCAATGGAGCAATATTTCAATCCATCAACTTCTGTTAGTGAGAGTTTGAGAAAAAAAAATAAATTTTTCTTGGAAGTATACAAAATACATTCCCAGATTATTATCAGCCAAAATACCTACAGTAGATGAAACTTCTCACACTATTTCAGTTTTATCAAACCAGGGTTCAGATAATTTCCTTCACTCCTCAAAAGGGGAAAAAAATATTCCACTTTTCTGCTAAACATCAATGTTTAGAGATGTAAGACTTTCTTGATTGAAAAGTGAGCTAAGAGCTTTAAAAAAACATATGGGTATTAAATTAGAATCACACAAATCTGAGGTTTTAATAGACTGAAAATGACCAAGACTTTGAATGCTACCACTTATGGGGCTGTGTGGGTGTGCTTCTTTCTCAAACTATCTTTCAACTCCAAAGCTTAAACTTGTTAATTGCTACCTACAACAAATAGGGGCTAGCTGTTAAGTTTCATAACACCTGGACAGAAGTGGCATGTAGCATATTAATATTGATCTCCAATTAATGAAGAGATAACAGGTAGAACCGTGACTTATTGGAAGCTGATCTTGCACTGTTTCTGCCTGTAAACTATTCAGGTAGAGAAAAATCAGGCTGGAATTGGTAAGATGATCCCAGAAACATGTAGATTCCTTGAAAGCAATGGTGGTGGATGCCCAGGGACTGGAGACTGATTATGACTTTCTGGGGGAAGCAAGACATTTGAGTGTGTGAAATAATCAACCAGGGTAAAAACCGTATCTTCCTGATTCTTTACTACACCTCAGTGACAAAGCCACTACAGGCTGTCTTTTACTCCGTACTACCCACAACACGGCTCCATATTAAACAACCTCAAAAGAGATTCTGTACATTTGTCCACACAATGTAGCAAACAGCCCTAACTGGAACTCTACTGCTTGCAATAACACAGTAGGAGATTTCAATTTCCTGTAAAGTAAATATTTGCTGGATAGCTTAAGACTAGTGTAATGCTTTTTATTTGATATTTTAGCCTACTTTTAATAGGAAGGGTGCTGCTGTCCTCACAAAATCTCAATGGGTTATAATATAGTGAAACAAGAACCATGGAAAAAAAAAAATAAAATAAAATGCTCCTGTATCATCTCACAAGGCAAATGTGAGATTGCTTTCACCTTTGCTGAAAAAAAAGCAAGATGTGAAACTTCAGGATCATACTACACTGTGTGTGGTTTCAGACAAAAGAACATAATTGCCAGTGCAAAATCACCTAGAAAACTTAAACATGGAGCAGTGTCAACTAGAATGAAAAGCTTTTACCATTTTCTATAGTGGTCAAAGTTCCAAATATCCTCCCACTGAAAAGAGAGTTGCACAGACACAAGAAAACAAAATTTTATGCATATTATGTCTGAAGTTTATACTTACACACAATCACAAATGTTTCAAAAAAATGTCCATGTTCATTAGCTTGAAATGATTATTGATTTTATGTATTATTATAACACAGCAGTAGAAAGAAAGCTAATAAGAAACACGTATGTCAAGCAAACTAACCAGATCCCAAAATAAACTGATGCTGCTTCCAGCAGAGCTCCTAATCTGTTTTTTAATGTCTTATACATACAACTGTTTAGAAAGGAAATCAGTTTTCCTGCCTTTCTCCTAGCTGAATGAACACATATTTTATAATAAAAGATTCATCTTCCACTATGATAGCTATGACATGTTCTTAAGTAGAATATACTTTCAAGAAGTTAATCTTTGCCAAAATTTTAAATTGACTAATATGACTGTCTTTAAATAATTACTTCAAATTCACTTAAGTACTTTTGCTTTACTGCCCGATACTTAAACTCACATTTTTAAAATAAAATTCCATCATTAACTAATTGCCTCAATGGGTATATCTGTTCTTTTCCATAGTTTTTTTTTTGTGTAACACAGACAAAATACATGTAAAGTAGTGAAACAGAAGTTCTGAAGCAAAAAGTATTCAGGAAAACCTGAACCAAATGCTTCTCCAACATTTTTTTATTTCCTGCAAATATTAGCAAGTACAACAGAATTAACTTTTTATATCATGTTCAGTCTTTGTTGGGATACTGAGCACAGGAAGGTTTTTGACTGATTATAATTTCAGCTGTAGGAAAACTGCCTGGGTGCAGTGTTAATTGTGTTGTTCCCTCTTAAAGTTACTTCTTACTGCCTAAAGATGGAATGCCTTCCTAACATGTAGAATGGACTCAGTCTCATTCCCATCTAAATGAAAGCATGTTCTAATTTGATATATTTAACAAAATAGGATGTTCATCAATGACACCTTGCTTGTCCACTATAACACACCTGAGACTTAGACTGAACTACATTGCTTCAAGAACATGGTCACTTCTGGTACTTAAAAGGTTGTTGTAGAAAGGAGATGTTTGTAAATGTCCGCTGGATGAGACATAAGATAAAATTTCAGGGCCTAAAGAAGATACCTGTTGTTGCAGAAAACAATGATAATGTGAACTGAGGATAAAAACAGTATTGGAACAACATCTATACTTTCCTAGTTTATTTGCTGTGATGGTTTCTTTTTCTTTAAATTTGAATCTCAACTGAATATGCATCTCCAGTCAGAAATGTCAGTATTCTTAATTACCCTTATGTTCAAAAGTAGTTGTACAAGATGTGAAGCTATAAAGATCTAAAAGTGAGAGAGGAAACAGAGCAGGCAGGAAACTATTGGAAACAAGGCTTATAACCTACATCCTTTCCACTCACCCTTTCAAGTCCTCCAGGCTTCCCATTCTTATGTTCTTACTAAATCTGCTCATCTTTTACAACTCCTCTCATGCCATGTCACTGCACAGTAACTCTTTCCTCCTCATCAGTCCTCACAGGATCTGTAGGACAGCCGTATCAATTTCCTCCTCTCCATCTTTCTCAAATACTCTTCCTTCCCAGCCTTCCTCAGTATCATCTTCTCTACTTGTCACACTTCAAAAACTCATACCTTGACTTACATTCCCCATTCAGGCCGTACTAGTCCTGCTGCCCTCCTCTTCCACTATCACTGCAATTACCCCTTGATGTTATTTCCTCTCTATGTACATTCCTTAGTTTCCATCCCCAAAAAATCACACTTTTTACCATTTTTAAAATCTAGTGTATTGTTAACATGAGGAAAAAAAAAAAGAAAGCACAGAATAATAGGCCACAGGGTACCATTAAAAATGGTAAGATAGAAACTTAAGTGCTTCTTGAAGGAAATATAAAAAGCAGTCAGTGTTGCAAATACACAATACAGTTGAGTTCTACTGCTTCATAAACTGAAGTATTCATAGCTGTTTTGCATTTGTCTTCACAGAGATACTTGATTATGATCATTAAAGTAATTAGATGACTTTTTAAGTGAGATTGCACAGATTCCACTGTTCGTCCAGTACTATTAACTCCAAAGTAGGAAGATTGAACAAAAAATTGTAGATTTATGTAGTTCATAAAACTGAATTGAAGTACATGTCTGTAATAATTTTTGGAAGGCAGACTCAGAATTTAAAATAGGAAGCTGGATCTTAGTATAATTAAATTGAGTTTAGTCTAATTTAAAATAATCTAATCTAATTTAAAACCAGAAAATAACTGTCTAGCCATAGCCCAACAGTAGTCAATCTCAATCAGGTAGTTATTGCATCTCATATCCTACTTCTGTGCAAACTCTAGTATATTTTTTGTCATGTAACACTACAAATAACGGTGTGATGTTCTCAAAAAAATTAGAAATGTCATTCTGAAATCTGTTAACTCAAGTGCCCTGCAGCATTTTGGCTCACTTTGGACCCCATGCTCAAAACCTGCACAGGTTGGACAGTTCTAGTGGGACCAACCAAACTACTAACATTTGAAAAACATAAATTGAAAAGTGAAGACATGCAGGCAAAAAAGAAAAAAACCAAACACCTATTTGTTAATTTAAAAAATGTGGCTAAGGAGACACATGACAGAAATCTTCCAATATTCAAAAGATCTTTATACCAGTGAAAAGATAAAAACAATCAACTAATCTTGCAACAAAGATTCAGATTAGTTCTTTGGAATAAAAGTTCCATTAGTAGAGGCAAATTACTAAAAGGCTGTTCATATAAATTACAGAATACTCTCTATTGGCTATTCCTAAGTGTATAGAATATAGAATATGCTGAGTTGGAAGGGACCCATCAGGATCATCGAGACCAACTCCTGTCCCTGTGCAGGTCACCCCAAGAATCACACCAGGTGCCTGAGAGCATCATCCAAATGCTTTCTGAAGTCAGGCAAGCTTGGAGCTGGGACCACTTCCCTGGGGAACTTGTTCCAGTGCTCAAACACTCTCTGGGTAAAAAACCTTTTCCTGATATCTAACCTAAACCTCCCCTCATTCAGTGGATGTGATGCTTTATTGCAACATATACTTCACTAGGCAGAAAAATCATGTTTGGCTGAAGGCTGAGAAATGCTGTAATTGTAACATGACAGTCATGACTGGGCCTGTGACAGATTAAGCAGAGCCAACGACAGGAAAGACCCTGCAACTACTATTCACAGCCATAAACCAAAAAAGAATCCAGCAAAAAAAAAAGTGGGCAGTAACATTTCACTATTACTGTTCTCACCAGCTGTCATTTCCCTCAAAACATCTTGGCTTTTTCACCTCCTCCCATACACGTGCCTAACAAGACCCATCCTATTCTGTATTAGGAAATCAGATGCTACCATCTAGCAACAAGAGAAGAATGAGCCAGTTTCTACTCATAGGAACAATTCTCATAAATGTGGAAGATGGACAGTATTATTTCTTTAGAATAATCTGCAGAGAAAATGTTGCTTATTCTGAAATCTGAGAGGCTATTTCTCATTAAGCCATTATCACTCAATTGTCCTACTACCTGGGATTAAATTGAAAAGTGACTTAAAAATTTGCTTTTCCTGTTTTATGTTCCAATGTATTACCAACAAGTCTCCTCCAGAACAGCAGTTTTCCTCCTACCAAGGCAGATGGAAGGAAAACAGTGAAAGAAAAAAAATAAAAATAGGTGAAACCATCACAACTGACTCCTAAAGTGCTGGCTCTACAAAACCAACAAGCATGAGTATTTTCCTCTAAATCAAACTCACATACCCTTGAATTTAGCAAATGTTTGATGAAAAGATATATTTTTGCTATATTTATATGTGGCAGCCAGAGAAGTTGTATTTCATCTTGTAAACTTACTGAGTTACTGCCCTCCATGCACACAACTGTAAACACAGATAAGTGTATAAAGAGGCAGCATAGTTTGAGATCTATTTCCACATTTTAGGACTAGGAAAAAGTATCAGAAAGAAGTGTATTCCTTATGTCAGACTCGTATCAGTCTATTTCAGCCAACAGACCATTCTATCAATGGTAAATAATGTCTTTAAACTTACTGAAGCTATTTCCTTTTTCAGTTGCTTGTTATACATATATCTTTATGGAAACTGCAAGAACACAAAAGGAAATGTTTCGTATAGACAAAATTCAGTAAATGCCCTGTTACTTCTATGGCCAAAGATGGAAAATAGAGGAAAATACCTGGAGTTGGAAGGACTAAATGCTACATTTCAGTATTTGGTTTGACATAATATGATACAAAGCAGTTTCAGCTGTAAGGAATCTCAAAATCTACCCATTTTATACGGTAAATAAGAAAATGGGTTAGAGGAAGTATATTACTATTATTTTCCTGGTAAAAGTACAATAATAACATCACCTTGGTAGTATTAAATAATAAAGGCAGTGTCCAAATACTAGATAAGTGATCAAGTCGTAGAAACAGACAGAAAAACACACACAAGGAGTAAAAGAGAACAAAACATTTCTGCAAGTATGTACCTGTACTCTTGCAGGAGAACTTTGTTTTTTCATCACACAGTCGTATAGTTCCATTACAGCCTTTTTCATCACTACCATCTTCACAGTCCTTTTCTCCATCACAGCGCCACAACTCAGGAACACAGGTCCCATCAGGACTGCACTGAAATTCCTTCCCATTGCATCTTCCAGGAGAGGGAGTTTCTTAGAAAAATAAAAACAACATTGAAGAACCTGCTCACATGACTTTTTTCCATGCCAAGCTTACAATGACTAAGAATTCCCCTACCTAACCAAAGCTAAAATTAAAGTCTGCAAGTATCACACTCAAAACTCACAACTTCTTTTTAACCCTTCACTCCAACACAAGCTTCAGACAAGCTCTATTCGTCCTGCTCTCTCCCTTCTTCACCACAAATAGTAAAAGTAAATATTCATTTCATTTTTTTTGCACAGCTGTCAGACAAGAATGAATTTGAAGATGTAAGGAGGGCCAAGGCTGATCAAGTTTTCCTGCTTTGTAAGCCCTTCCTCTCACTCAAGCGACATTCCCTTCTTCTTCATTCTCCTCTTTTCCAGCAAGGTCTATCTCCTAGTTCACAAAAGGGAAAACACCTCTGTTCAAACTGACAGAAGTTCTGGCCCTAACACCTGCCTGATTTCTGCTGTTACAGCACTGGCAGACTAGCTGTGGCCTTCATTAATTCCACAACAAGGAACTTCAGTTCAGTGCAGCTAAGGAATCAGTCTTGAATGTTTCAAAACACAGTAACTATATGTTTTTGATTATTCACCAAATACTTAATTCAGTATTTTCTAGATTATGGCCTTTTCAGTTTTATCCTTGCCCTCCTTTTCCCAGACTGTATTTCTAATATAATGTACCTATGATAATAACATGTACTTTAAAGAAATTATAAACTTACACATACCTATTTCTACCAAAAAGTATTAATATCTTACAGCACTGTGTATAAATATGTGGTTTATTTTACTAAAAGTTGCCTTGTTGGTTTTCTCTTTTTATTTAAAAAAATCTGCATTCTGTCATAAATAAAGCAAGAACTAGTGTGCATCATGAAGAACAGGCCACAGAACTGACAGAAGCTGTGTAAAACAGTGCCATTTTAGAGACAGTGGTGCAAATCCCAACATAACATGGTATTGTATAGAAAGCTGTAGCAGGACTTCAGCTCTTAGATGGACATGAATTGGGTAAAAGTGAGTTTAGTTAGCTTAGTTTCAGATCAATTATTTTGATACAGGTAAGTAAAAATATTTTTTGCAGATATATAAAAATTAAGGACTTTGCATTCTGCTAATTCATCTGTTTGCATGAGGTCTGAAACTAATTTAGAATATAAACACATTAAAAAGAGTCACGTACAATTATTTTGTTGTGGAAAAGTCACTATGAGAAAAATGAGAAAAAAAATTTCCCTCATTCTTATCTGATTATTCTTTATCCTTTGCTACAATCATCCTCCCTGTCTCTCCTCACTCAAATAAATAAAACGTATGGCACTTAAATGGGACTGCAGTTTGTTAAAACTCTTTTTATGCTTGAGTAACACTATTGAAAAAAAAAACACAAAAATGTGGATCACACAAGAATTAGTGTGTTACTGCACAAAAACCCCAGAAAATATGTTAGCTTAAAGAATGCTGCTTACTCTATCTTAGCAGTATGCATCTCTGAAAAAGGACACACATCAGATTTAGCATATATCAGTAAAGTAAAAGTACAAAACATCTCTCAGTATCAATCCATTCTGTTTTCAAATGTACCCTTCTTCTGTGATTCACTTCTTTGTCACCATATTACATTTGACATATTTTCCATTCCAACCTTTACCAAGGTTAAAAGCATTTTCTCTTTTTTCACTGACTGAAGATGAGTCCTCTATTTATAATAAATTATACTCTGTGTTTATAAGTATTAAAATGTGAGGGGGGAAAAAAAAAAGCTAACCTTCCTTGCTACAGTTTGTTTTGGTTTCGTCACTGAAGTCTCCACAGTCATTGTCACCATCACATGCCCAATGGCTTGGGATACATCTACCATTGTGACATCTGAACTGATCAGCAGAACAGGAGTGAATGCAGCCTAGTTCATCACTTTCATCACCACAGTCATCATCTGCAAATATTAATTATTAAGATTATTTTAAGAGATTAAAAAAATCTGAATAAAAATGTAAGGACAAAGAGATATTTCCAAAAAGGCAACAGAAAATAACACTGAGTTAAGAAAATAGTGTGTTTACTGCCCACAGGCATATGGTAAAATTATTTCAAACTCAAGTAATTACTTAAATCTAATTTACCAACAGCACTTGCCTCTGTCACTTTGGAAGTCCAAATCCTTACAGTTATTCACGGACACCAGTAAGCATGAGAATGCTCTAGAATGCTCTAGATTTTCTTAACATCTTCAGACTTCCAAACACAGTGGTGTTACTTCATTCTCAGTGTTTAGTTAACTTAAACAGTTAGCACTCACACAAAGAGCTTCATATAATCCAAAATCAAAACCTGAAGTAAAAATTTCTTTTCAATTATATTACATTGTTTTCATGTCCTTGTGACAGTGCAAGGTGGAGAAAAGGCAGCAGCACGTAAGTAATGTAGCTCCTCGTTACTCTAATGTTGTAATCATACAACAATCTTAAGGCAATTCCCACAATTTGATCATGATCAATTCTAATAATATCAAATGCTATGGTGGATGAAGAACCAACTCAGGTCAGAACTGGCATGGCATCACTCCCACCTCCCAAGCTCTGAGAGAAGATTCATTTGAACAGCTCTCATTCAAACATGTACTCTTCCAGACAAAAGAAATAACTACATGGCAAAGCCTTCCTAGCCTTCCCTTGATGGATGCTAATTGTAAAACTGAACTTGCCCACAAACAACAAAAAAATCAGGTATTTTTGTCACTGGAACTATTGTTTTCTAAAACCAGAAAATATTTCCACAAGCCACAGCTTAGTTCTTTTTTTTGTTGTTGTTCTTTTTTTAAATGATGAAATTTTACATCACACTTCATTCTACAAAATACACTGTTTGTAACTATTACCATATGCACTGCGTAATTCTTTATATGAAGCTGCAATATTGCTGCTTTCTAGGTCAGGTCAGTAATTTAAAACCACTATATTTATTCTCTGATCACTTACCAGTCAAACTGGCAATATCAGCCTCTCAAGGAAAGCATCAGTATCAAAGCAATATCTATGTAATATCTACTATATTCATTTGAAATATAGAACACCCAATACTTGCCTGAATCACAGAGCCACTTGCTGCTAATGCATCTTCCATTTCTGCATATAAATTGAGTTAGTGGCTCACACGTTGGGAATTCTGTAAAAGTGTTAAAAAATAAGTAAAAACTATTTCATGTATACCCTCTTTAATAATCCACCCTCCTATATGCATAAATTATACAGGTTTATTGTATCCAACATTTGCACTTGCCAGATAATTAATCTGGAGAGGGGAAAAAAGGTGAAACACCAAAAACAGAGGATAAAAGGGCTTTTAACTGCAAATACTAGACCAAACCTTATCCTTCAACACAGAGCACTGAAATGCATTATTCTGTCTCACATGACATGGTCCTACATTCCCATCAGATCAGTGCTGTCTTTGCCACTAAGCATGCTAACATTTACAACTAGTTATAGCTTGACAGCTGATACAAACCCATTTTCATAATTTTTATTTGTATTAAAAAAATTACCTAATTGCAATAGCACTGCCAGTAAGAGACAGGAAACGGAAGACTATAAAATAAGGCTGAGTACCAAGCAAACGAGTTGTCAAGAAACAAAGTTTTTAAAAAATCCAAAATTAAAGTGTCGGTATTTACAATTGTTTCCTGCAAGCACTTCAGTACAAGTAGTGGAAAACTGAGAGAATATCCTTAGAAGAGACTCATCTATATTACACATGGAAATTTGTTTTTATAATTGCCTAATATATTTCACAGAGAACAGCTTTCATTTTCTCAGACTTCCTTCTTTTCTAGTGAGGTACTTGCGTTCTTACAGTTAACATGTTAAACAGTGATTGCACCCATTCTGTTTGCAAAACAAAAGATCTGCTTTGCAAAACCTGCAATTCATAGGAAACAATCTGAAATTCTAATCCAAGTTAAAAGGAATGAGGAGGAGCCTAAATTCTCTATACAGACTATCAAGATTATAAGATACCTCTCAGTAACTGATACCTAATGCAAACCAAGGATGACAAGAACAACCTGCCCGAAAAGCACTTTGAAGGCAAGTTTGATCCTCACTGAAGGGTTTCACGTTGCAGGTTCCTACACAAAACACCCTAAATTAATCAGAAAGGTAAAAAATACTGCATGGTCCTGTCAGCCACACCAAAACTGCCAAGACTACAAAAAATATCCAAGTGTATTCCTCATTCTGTTGCTCTAACTACCTTGTTCCAAGTGTTGTTTCAGCTTCTAGTGTTGTTTCAACTGAGATGACAAACCTGAACTTCATAAAGATTTTGAAAATTAGGCCATGTAATTAGTACTGATGAGTTTTACAAACCTTTTAAATATGCCACATAGCATTTCCTTAGAACAATAACTGAAACAGTCATTGACGTCAATGAATTTCTGACTTGGGTTTGCCATTTCTTGCCATCTTTGCTACAGAAAATATTTCAAAGCTAATTCAAAAGCCTTTTTTTTTTTTTTTTCTTTTCAGAAGACAGTTTTAGCTTAAAAACATCAATCCAAACAAGCTCCATCAAATACTGCAATTCAGAGATCACCAAGAACATTGTAAGCCTGAAGTGAATATTCTGCTTCAACAAAGAAGAGGGTAGGAAGAAAAGTTAACACTGATGACAACACTTTGTCAGTTACTCCTAGAAAGTGTTTGTTTGTTTTTCTTAGGGGAACAAATTACAGTGAAAACAAAATTCTGCTGGAGACAAATAACAGAGATGTGCAACTATAATGGCATTTAGCTACAATATATGCCTTATGTTCCTCAAGCAAAGCATCTTTTAATTTTGCTTTTTAGCTGCTCAATAATTTTTTTCACAAATTTAACTCATACATTAAATGTTATTTTTCCCTTTTCCACACATGAATGTCTTCATTACTTTATTTTCTTTATGTTCATTTGTCTACCAAAGACCTGTATAAGGGGACAGAAACTAATTAAACTGAATTGTGATTATCCTCACCACCATGACTAATGTCCTGATTCTCAGCCCACCAAAGTCTTCCCAAGGATGTTTTGCAGTATCTTCAGTGTTTGCTTCTCATACCCCATCCTCCACAGCTCCCTCTCACATCCTGGAGGCCAGGCACAAGACTTCCCCTCGCTGTCCCCCTCATCTCCCCTTCCTTTCCTATTTCATCCTGTAGCTGATTCACAGCCTGCCCTGTGCTGATTGCCCTGCAGACAACAGAAGCAAAAAAGGTGCCTCCTAAGCTCACAGTGAAGTCTCTCCACATTGTAGGCACCAATCTCTTTTCTCTCTGCTGACCAGCTGACTTGTGAAAGCTCCAGTTTTCTTGATACTTCTTTCACTCTTCTGCTAGTGAGTACTCAAACAATGAACCAATAGAGGGAAACAAGAAATGACCACAAGTCTTGCTTCCTTTAGGAAAGCAGCAGAAAAACAAGGAGGGTCTCTTTTCAAATCTTCTTCAGAAATGTCATGCTTCTTTGTAAATCTAGTTTTATTTTAAGGAAAAGTGTTTCATTATAATACTGGCATCATCCTTCCATTCC